CATGCTATGAGGGCGCTTGCGAATCATTTCAAACCAGTCGGGGTAGTCTAGCTGCCACTGCGTGTCGAGAGGAGCGTCGAGAGAAGGAATACATGGCCGAACATCTTCCCAAAGAGTCGTATCCACTGTAGGCGTCCGAAAGACACCAGCCCAGAAGTCCCCAAGAGCCAGGGCAGAAAACTCTAACGAAGGACAAAGAACACCATGCTCATCCGTAACCGAGCCCAAGACCGTGCGGCGCCTAAATTTTCTCCACAAGAGGGCACGACGGCGATGTTTAGCAGCTAAAGCGCGCTTAATCTCAGGCTCAACTGTGGAACTCCTGATCTCCTGCTCCTCATCCCGAAGAATACGTGTGTATGATGAGAAAATATGATGGGTAAGACCATGCAGATGAATACACTGAAGGTCATAATCAAAGTGAACAGACAGACGAGGGTAACATTGAAGAGCAGATCGCAACTTCCTGACATCACCTGTGGACCAGGCTCGCAGCGCCGTCAGTGCCCAAAAGTGCTACTCCTGCAGAGAGCGGGCTGGGCGAACAAAAATAGCGGCACGAGCACGACGCCCATATTGGCCACGAAACGCTATGCTGGGTGGGGGAGACGCGTGCGAGCGTTGCCACAAGGGCCTTCGGTGGAGCCCCTGTGGGCCAAGAAACGGTGTACTGGGTGGGGTGGGCGCGCGCGAACGTTCCGCCACTGGGGCCTTCGGCGGAGCTCCCTATGGGCCACAAAACGCTGTATTGTGTGTGGGGGGGGGGGGCATGCGAGCTTGGCCACTAGGGCCTTCGGTGAGGCGCCCTACGGGCCACGAGACGCTGCACTGGGTTGGGGAAACGCATGTGGACGTTGTTAGTGGGGACTTCTGTGGCGCTCCATATGGGGCCACGAAGTGCTGTTCTGGGTGGGTGAGACGCAGGCGGACGGTGCCACTGGGGCCTTCGTTGGAGCTCCCCATAAGGCCCCGAAACGTCGTACTATGTAAGAGAAGCGCATGCGGACAGTGCCGCTGGCGCTGCCGGTGGAGCCCCCTTTATGGGGCCACGAAACACTGTGCTAGACGGGCGAGACGCATGTGGACACCGCCGCTGGAGCCTCAGTGGAGGTCCCTGAGGGGCCACGAAGCACTGTGCTGGGTGGTGGAAGCGCATCTGAACACCGCCACTGGGGCCTCAGGTGGGATTCCCCATGGTGCCACGAAGCGCTGTGCTGGGTGGGGGAGGCGCATGTGGACACCGCCGCTCGGGCCTTAGGTGGAGCTCCCTATCGGGCCAAGAAACGCTGTGCTGGGGGGGGGAAACGCGTGTGGACACCGCCACTGGGGCCTTCGGTGGAGGTTCCGATGGGGACATTAAACGGTGTACTGGGGGGGCTTAGGTGGAGCCCTCTATGGGGCAACGAATCGCTGTGCTGGGTTGTCATGCGTGCGGTGACGCTGGGACCGCTGATGAAGATCCCTGTGGGGCCGCGAGACGCCGTGCTGGGTGGGGGAGGCGCATGTGGACACCGCCGCTGGGGCCTCAACTCGAGCTCCCTATTGGGCCACGAAGCGCTGTGCTGGGTGGGGAAGACGCATGTGGACGTCGCCACTTGGGCTTTCGGTGGAGCCCCTGGGGCAACGAAGCGCTGTGCTGGGTGGGGGAGGCGCATGTGCACTCCGCCACTGGGCGTGCACGTGGAGCTTCATATGGAGCCACGAAGCGCTGTGCTGGGAAGGAAGGGCGCTTGTGGGTACCGCCACTCGGGCCCCAGGTGGAGCTCCCCATCGGAGCACGAAGCGCTGTGCTGGGTGGGGGAGACGCATGTGCACACAGTCACGGGGGCCTTAGGTGGAGCTCCCCATGAGACCACGAAGCGCTGTGCTAGATGGATGAGGCGTATGTGGACGCCGCCGATGAGGCCTCAGGTGGAGGTCCCTGTGGGGCAACGAAGCGCGGTGGTGGGAAGGGGAAGCGCATGTGGACACCGCCACTGGGGCCTCAGGTGAAGCTCCCCATGGGGCCAAGAAGCGTTGTGTTGGGTGGGGGAAGCGAATGTGGACACCTCCGCACGGGCCTTAGGTGGAGCTCCCTATCGGGCTACGGAACGCTGTGCTGGGTAAGGGAGGCGCATGTGGACACCGTCACTGGGGCCCCAGGTGGAGCTCCTTATCGGGCTACGGAACGCTGTGCTGGGTAGGGGAGGCGCATGTGGACACCGCCACTGGGGCCTTAGGTGGAGCTCCCAATGGGGCCACGAAACGCTGTGCTGGGAGGGGGAACGCGCATGTGGACACCGCCACAGGGGCCTCAGGTGGGATCCTCTATGGGGCCACGAAGCGCTGTGCTGGGTGGGGGAAACGCTTGAGTGCTCGATAGGGGGAAACGCTTGTGGACACCGCCACTGGGGCCTCAGGTGGAGCTCCCCATGGTGCCACGAAGCGCTGTGCTGGATGGGGGAGACGCATGTGGACACCGCCGCTCGGGCCTTAGGTGGAGCTCCCTATCGGGCCAAGAAACGCTGTGCTGGGTAGGGGAGACGCATGTGGACACCGCCACTGGGGCCTTCGGTGGAGCTCCCAATGGGGCCACGAAGCGCTGTGCTGGGTGAGGTGGGAGAGACGCATGTGGACGTCGCCACTGGGGCCTTAGATGAAGTTCCCTATGGGCCCACGGAACGCTGTGCTCGGTGGGGTGGGGGACAGAGGCGGGGATAAGAGGGGGGTGGAGGGAAGGAAAGCAGGAAGGAAGGAAGGAAGGAGGAACGCGGGGCACTCTCTTCAAAACGAGGGCCCGACACCACAGGATGGGTGGGAAAACCGTTTCGGGTGCGCTCTGGCCAGAAAGGTAAAGCGGCGCCAGACGTGGCCACGAGGGCCCAGGATGCCCAAGAGCGTCAGAAAACATTGATCCCTGACGCTCGGTCCCGGATCCTCCTTATCCTTCCCCGTTCTCTCAAAGGTCTCACGGGTTCTCCAGAAGTATATGACTGGACGTACTAAGAAGACTCAGGAAGGCAAATACGTGCCACGGCCCTGCGGAAACCCAGATATCCCCCCGCACCCGACGCTACTGTTCCCTCCTCCCGACTCATCCTTTCCCTCGGTATACTCGTCGTCGACGTCCTCTCTTCCTCGTCCCCCTCCTCCATTCCTTTCCCTTATGAACCTTATCCCTGTCGCACCCCGGAGCCAATTTTTAGGGCGGGCCGGGCATTTCGCCTGAGACTCTCTCACCACTTATGACCCTGAAGCTTACAGCTTGGCAACGGTTTCACAGATGGGGAGCGGGCGGTTTTCAAAATGTGACTCTCGCCTTAGCGCCGCACACATTCGTTTAAAACAAATTGCAAGAGCTTCAAGGATTGAAGGCGACCCGTTTTCAACATGTGGCTCTCGCCTCAGCGCCGCGCACATGTGTTTTAAACATTGCAGCTTCACCAATTGACGGCGACCCATTTTCAAAATGTGGCTCTCGCCTAAAATATCAGAACTTGCAAGAGTTTCACGGGTGAAAACGACCCCCCGTTTTACGAGTTTCACGGATTGAAAACGACCCGCTTTCAAATTCTGGTTTTCGCCTTAGCTCCGCGCACATTCGTTTTCAGAAATTGTAACAGTTACACGGGTTGAAGGCGGTTCTTTCTCAACATGTGGCCTTCGCTTTAGCGCCACGCACATTTGTTTTACAAATAGCTTCACGGATTGAGGGGGTCCTTTTCAAAATGTGGCTCTCACCTGGGCGCCGCGCGCATTCGTTTGGAACATGTATGGGCGTTTAAAAACATGTTGGACATGTCCAGGATTATGCGGGCGCAGCGCTTACGTTGGTTCGCAATTGTGAAGTCCCAAGGATGGCGTTTTGGTGCGATTCAGGACCGTCAAGACGCAACAGTCAGGTTCATCCGTGGCGGTGGAAACCCGAGAACCATTTTTTAGCATTCTTCAGCATCTTCAAACGAAAGTCTTTCGACGAGGCAGTTCCATCAGTGGGGATGAACCGTTGTGTGGGGCCAACGAAGAGGGAGCGTGGAGGGAGGGTTTATTCCATCATCGTTGATGACTCTTGGATTTAGACTGATCCTCCTCCTCCTCCTCCTCCTCCTCCTCCTCCTCTTACCCCTCCCTCCCCCTGCTCCTGCTCCTGCTCCTCCTCCTCTTCATCCTCCTCCTGCTTTTCCTCCTCCTCCTCCTCCTCCTCTTCTTCTGCTCTTCCTCCGCCTGCTCCTCCTCCTCCTCCTCCTACTCATTTTCCTTCTGCTTTTCCTCTTCCGCTTCCTCCTTCCAGCCCTTTCGCCTCGAGAATTCGAGATGGCCGAGCTCACTTTGAATGGGCGCAGCTCGGCCGAGCAATGGCTTCGTGATATTCCCGGCTGTGCGCTTCTCGAGCGTTTCGGCGTCGTGGTCGAGATGTCTCTCGGGGATGGCGTCCGACATGTGATTGTGTTCGTAGTATTCCTCATCTGGGTGGAGGTGGTGTTTGTGTTCTGTGCGGAACCGAACTTGGATGTCTTACGTTGTTCGTGTTTGGCGTTAACGGCTTTCGACTGGAAGTTCGTGTTTCGTTTCAGGGGTGGGCCGCGTGGCGCATGCCGCGAGGGACCGTGGACGTGCGGAGCGGAGTCGCCGCGTGAAGAGACGGCAACGACGGGCGTACTTCGACTGAGAGGTGTTCGGGAAGACATCTGGGTGGCGCCTCGACGACGTCGGTTGGCTGCTCGTGAAGGCTTTCACGACTTGAGGAGCTGCGAGCTGAGCTGGGGGGGGGGCCTTCAATCGCACGGCGCAGGGTCTTCTTCGCTCCCGTGCGGGAGATGGGTTGGCCTTGGTGGCCAGACCCTTGGGGGCCTGGCGTGGGGCTTTGGGCTCCGCTGGGGGGTGCTCTCTCTTGCCTGGTGCGGGGGTTGGCCGCCCCCCCCCTTTCGCGCCCGTGGTGGCGAGCGAGGGGGGAACCCTTCAACGTAGTCAGACTCAGTCTCAGCCTCCTCATCCTCCTCCCTCGCCTACCCCACGGGAGC